ATCACTTGTTGTTCCCTTGTCTCTGGGTTTGTTAACACCACTTCCTTTCGCCCCACCTCCCCCTCTCCCATGTCCCCCTGGAACTGTCAATTCCATTGTTTTCTCCTCCAGATTGTTCATCCAGCCTATCTTATTTAGGCAGACCTGCAAAGATAATAACATGCACAAAAACAAGACAGAGCAAAACCAAGCAATAATATACAACAAAACAACAACAACCAATGACCAAAAAAAATCACAACAAAAAAGAAAAGCTTGTAGTTAGCTCAAGGATCGTTTGTTGGCCTTTAGGAGTGTTTTCCAGTCCAGTCTGTTGGGGCACCACGCCCTGACCCCAAAGTCCACCTTCAGCATTCCCTGGAGACCTCGCCGCTCCATTCCCTTGCTGTTCTGTTGCACCCCCTTAGTGTTTTGCATTGTTGTGGCAGGATCAGATCGGGTGCAATTCCCACACTGTGTCTCTGGTGCTGTCTCCTGTAGGGCCATGGGTCAGTTAGGGGCATCATGTCTCATAGTGAAGTTGGCCATGTGGCCTCTCTGGACTGGCTGCTCTAATTGGGATCATCGTTCTCAAGGCCTGGATGTGCTCCACTCTCTCCTCTTCCCCCTTCATCTGCACCCGTGTGCTCTGATCAGATATGTCCCTTTCCTGGAGCTGCAGATTCAATGCTGTCCTTTGAAATAAATTCTTCTGAGAGGAGGGGCAGGCATCCACTTAGTATTTGGGACTGGGGCCGGCTCTTCACAGGCCATGTTGTAAGGACTAATTATTCTTAGATTGGAGCTAGGATTACGTTTGAGCCCCAAATCCATTCCCGAATATGTTTGTATCTGCTTCTGGCTCACCTTAGAGATGCCCTTGTTAATTTGTGGTAGAGAATCTTATTGATCATCTCCCTGGAGCATAAGTACCTGGTTTCAGTGTCATTGATTAGCCCATGACACTAATTTTTAAAACACTATTGAGAGAGTCCGATTGAACAAGTATAGGCTAAATACAATTCGCAATCCCTGAATTTTACTCACTTGTGCAGAATAAATCCTTACCTGACTGGATGCAATTTACACAAACAATGGGAGTTGATGTATTTGTGAATGACCGAACCATTAACAGTTTTTTTTTTTTGAACCATTAACAGTTTACTGGAAATTACTAGAATGCTTTTTGCCAAGTTTTCATGAAATCATTTATTTGAAAAAAGTGTATGTGTGATAGGGATTACTTATCTGCTGCTGACCCAATAAATAACATCATGAAAAATGGAGAAAAGATAAAAGTTATCAAAAATTTCGTTTTACCTGGATTCACAATCTATACTCTTGAAAACAGCCGCCAAGAAGCCAGGCCAATCTGCTATTCCAGCAGAGACGCCGCTTTGAGAGAACTAAGGGGCCCTCTCAAGCCGTGGAATTCCCAGTTGCCCATATGCATACGAAAGCTGGATAGCCAAGGAAGGAAGGCTGAAGAAGAGTTGATGCATTTGAATCATCTGCCAGCAAAGAATACTGAAAGTATCGTGGACTGCTAAAAGAACAAATAGATTCGTCTTGCAAGAAGTACAGCCAGAATGGTCCTTGGAAGCAAAGATGGAGAGACTGTCTCACATCCTTTGGGCATGTTATCAGGAGAGAGCAGCCATGGAAAAGGACCTCATCCTTAGAAAAGTGGAGGGTCGGCAGAGAAGGGCGAGATCCGCCAGGAGGTGGGTTGGCACAGTGGTGGTAGTAGTGGTCTGGCTCAAGCCTGACAACCATGTTGAGGATGGCTCGGGACCACGTAGTGTTTCACTCTTTGGTACTCAGGGTGGCCATGGGTCAGAGAGGACTCAACAACATCTAACGTTGTAACATCAGTGCTGGGTTCTGTACACTAGATTCATAGGCAAAAGACCTATTCACTCCACTGAAGAAACACAAAATTCAGTACAGGAGAGAGAATTGAGAAAATATTCACCACATCCCTTGATTTCTTTCTTAATCTTTCAGTTCCTGAATTCCTAAGAAGACGTGGCAAACCTTTGGCTTGTGGGGGACTTCTTTGAAAATGTATCCAAATCTCATTGATTTCTAAGATTTCTCGTTCCCATTCCTGTTTGCATTCTTCATCACTATATTATATAAACTCGGAGATGTTCACTGGCTACTCAGTCTCATTTTATTCTTCTTCCATTTAAAAAAAGAACAACAACAACCCTAACCAGCCCCATTGCTATCCGGTCCCTTCCGACTCACAGTGGCCCCTGGAGCACCTAGTAGAGCTGCTCTGTACATTTTCCAACACCGCACTTACTGACTGACGCCGTCTGCTGCAGCGCTCTCCTACCACGGCTGCTGGTTTGAACCTCTGACCTTTCAGTTAGTAGCCGATCACTTAGTTCCACTGCCACCAAGGCTCCTTTCTCTGTTCCAATCCGAACCTGTGCTTTGTAATTGCAAACACTGCACTAAGAAGACAACACTATCCGGGACAAACCTGTTCCAAGTCATGGACCCTGGAGAACTAATAGATTGTTTTCCTGTCTTGCCATCTTGGCTAAATTTTGGTCGTCACACATGACTTGTTTTGACACGGAAGCATAGGTGACACAATGACATGTTTTCGTGCTCTAGTAGTACTTTTTCTCGTAACGTTGAGTCCCACATTCACACAGTGCCTGTGAACTAAATAGATATTCTTACTATCCTCTTCTGATTCACAGCGACCTGACAGGACAGAGTAGCACTGCACCTTAGGGCTTCCCAGACTAAATCATGACAGGAGCACGCTGCTTCATCTTTCTCCCACGGAGTTCTGATGGATTTGAACTGCCTACCTAGTGGTTAACAGTCCAAGGTTAACGCCCTGTGCCACCAGCACTCCTTGTGTGCAACCAAGACCATCAGTGGTCAGGAATGCTATACGGGGCTTTTTTCCACTAGATTCGTCTTCCCCTTTCATGTATCCCATATATATTATCTAGTGTATTTTTTGTTGTTCTTGTTTTTTTTTTACTGTTTTTTTTTTTCCAACTTTATTTTTTTTTTCTTTTTCTTTTTTAACATTTTATTAGGGGCTCATACAACTGTTATCCCAATCCATACACACATCAATTGTGTAAAGCGCATTTGTACATCGTTTCTCAA